CCAGCTGCAATCGCCACAATCGCGTCGCCCCCAATTTGTAATATAATCTTCCTCAGCACAATGAAGTGCTGAAAGGAAGATTATATCACAAACAAAGGCACATAGGGTAGAGGTCATACAAACAGACTGCATTCGGAAACTGAAACAAAAAGAAAATAAAAAAATAGAAATTTGCGCATTTTAATATTAAAAAAAAATTATATATTAGTTTAATAAAAAAAATATAAATATAATATATATATATATTTTTTATATATATTATATGTATATATAAATATTTTAAATTAAAATTAAATGTTAGAATGATATAGATCCGACAGAACCGGAACCTGGATATAGGTCCATGAAGGCTTGATGTAACACCGGAACCGACTCGTTTAAAATACCGGATTTACCTCTATAACGAGACACCACAACTCAGCTCTCAGCTCATAGACCGATATAAAATTTGAAACACCTGTAAATGGTACGCAATGAAACAAATCTAGTAAATTGACTTTTAATGAGACGATATGTAGAAAATTCTCATTTGATAATTCGAATACCTCTACTCATAAATGTTTAACTATTCAATTTTTTATGAATAGTTAAATACTCTAATATATCTTATTATCTGAAACATGACATTTACATTGCTTATTATAATTCCATTCTGTCAAAATCTCATTGTAAGAGGTAAAAAATAGCATTCCTATATATAACTTGTTAGGTGGGCAGGGACTATATTTGAAATTGAATCTAAGTGCCGTTTACATAGACATTTTTTGGAGTTTAAGATACAGAATTGTTTATGTATATTTTATGTCTTTTTTATGATATACGCGTTTTTTATTAATATCGAAGTAATAGATTGGAAAATTAGAATAACGTTCATTTTTATGATATCATTCTAAAAAGCTGTTTTGATTGCAATCAAAGAACAAACTTTATAGACTTAATTTCGAAATTTTAAAGTATACTAATCGATATAGATTTTCGAAAATTAGTAAAATAATAAATTAATCTTTTGAGACATAAAAAACAGAATATTTTTATACAGGGTGTCTAAAAAATAGTGTATCTAACTTTGGTAGGTGATTACACAGATAAAAATAAAACAAAAAGTTCCTATGTTATTCATCCTATGTTATGAGTTGTATTCCCAAAAATGCCTCCCGAAGAAGTTACAGCCCTCGAAATGGTAAATAAAAATAATATATTTTGTTTATTTTTAAGGACATTGGTAAACCGTTTTCCTTGAAATTTGGTACTGTTACACATTACACATATTTTAAAGCCAAAGCTAATGGCGATAGTGTAAAATTTTGTAACAGCCCTGAAAGGATACTTTCCACTAGGGCAGAGAGTATCGATTTTAGTCTCGATTTCAGTATTAGCGAAAAATGATGAAATACAAAGAAATTGTAAATAATTAATCTTATAATTTCACTAAAGACTAATACTAAAATCGATGCATCGTAATCTTTAAACGCAAATACCTTAAAAACCGTGCACTGTTTCGAAATAAAAGGAGAGCATACGTAAAATAGCCCACAGCACTTTAAGTCATTTGTTGAAATTACTGTATCTACATACAGGGTGTCCCAGGTTGAGCATGCATTAGAAGTTTCTAGAGAACTACAATATCTAGATCGGAGATTTTTTGCACATCATTGTTTTACAACGAGATCTATCGATTAAAAATATTTTCAATATGGCGGCACTTCCGGAAATGCCGGAAGTTGACTACAACTTTCTTATTTTAAATGGCCGCCCCTATTTTTTATAACATACTTACATTCTGTGTAAAATTCTATGAATATTAATGTTAAACACTCTATATCTAACATTAACCGTTTTTGAGAAAAAAAATATTTAAAATTTTTGGACGAAAAAAACTACCTGTCAAAAAAATTTGTATAGCCTAAAAATCAAATTTAGTGATTGCTACAGCTACTGTGACACAAAGAGAAGACATGTAGCTATCTATTTCAAAAATTAAATTATTCAAATGTCATATCATAATGGCGGTAGCTGTCATCGAATTGAGTGATTAAAAAGTTATCATAAATCATTTTTTTCAAATGGAAACTACTTTTTTTATTTCACTACTGGAAAGATTTTATAATTCGTTACTTTTTAACTATACATGTTTCTATACCAAAAATAAATCGTTTTAAAGTTATTTAAGATTTAGTTTGAAAACATATATTTTTCTTGATTTTATCTAGCTTCCTTTGACATTAAGTGTCAAAAAGTCAGACAATTTATTTCCATCTGTCAGAAAACAAATTATTTGAATTTCCTATATTGTGAATATTGTTGCCTTAAAAGTTTAAAAAGTATTTATAAAAATATATATCTCCTATTTTCCCTCCTTAGTGATATCTAATAGTTGATATTATTAATTATATTAATAATGTACATACTGTATCAACCCTGAAAAAAAACAACGCAAAGTTGGCTTGCAAATGATGATAGATAACATACTGCTATTGTTTTACATCACGTTTAAAGTCATAGGCTACTTTTGTTAAAATCAAGAAAAATATACGCTTTAAAACTAAATTTTAAATAGCTTAAAAACGATTTATTTTAGGTATAGGAACATGTATAGTTAAAAAGTAACGAATTGAAAAGTCTTTTCACTAGTGAAATAAAAAAAGTGGGTTGCCATTTGAAAAAAATTATTTATGATACTTGTTTAATCTCTCAATTCCATGACAGCTGCAGCCATTATTATATGACATTCAAACAATTTAATTTTTGAAATAGATAGCCACATGTTTTCTCTTTATGGCACAGTGGCTGTGGTAATCACTAAATTTGACATTTAGACTATACACATATTTTTGACAGGCAGTTTTTTCGTCCAAAAATTTTAAATATTTTTTCTTTCAAAAACGGTTAATGTTAGATATAGAGTGTTTGATATCAAAATTCATAAAATTTTACAGAGAATTTAAGTATGTAATAAAAAATGGGGGCACATATTTAAAATAAGAAAGTTGTCGTCAACTTCCGGTATTTCCGGAAGTGCCGCCATATTGAAAATATTTTTAATCGATAGATCTCATTGTGCAAAAAAATTCCGGTCTAGATATTGTGGTTTTCTAGAAACTTCTAATGCACGCTCAGCCTGGGACACCTTGTAAAAGGATATAAAAGATGTACCACAAGTAGTAGGTACACTCTACTTAATGGAAAGTACCCTTTAAGGGTTGGATTGGGTTACTTAATCATGAAAGAGCTATATTATGTAAAGCCGATGATACACTTGGCAAATGTTACCATTCGTTCGCATTGTAGCCATTCGCACCATTGCTACTTGTTCGCACCGAACGAAACTTTTTTCCGCAAACATTTCCACTATTTGATGAAAAACAATACGTGATTCAGATTGTAAGCGAGTATAAGAAGAAATATCAAAATCAAACTAAAGGATGTTTATTAAAATAAATCAGCTATACTTAAATGGTTTAAACTTCATTAGACATGAAAATTTCTTAATTCCCAACCTTAACACCATCAGAATTGTATATTTTTAAAGTAATAGACTAAATTTTTCAAAAATAATCATAATTTTGTCAAAAAAGTTGAAAACTCTAGGAATTTACAGAGTGGTTAACTTTAACCACTCTATAAATTTTATATAAACAACCTTTGAATAAATTTCGAAGGAGTAGGTTTATCGAAAAATTGTAAGAGACCTTTTTGTAGATATAGCATAGAGCAATTCTGTACAAGAATATATGATTTTCATGGATGCGAGAGAACAAGATCGAGATGCGAGGGGTGTCTCACTCGGGTAAAAAATGTACACGTACTGCCAAAATAATCTTTCACTGTCAAGCGACTGCCAATGACTACGAAGAAGACTGCCTATGACTGCCATGTAATTATTATAGGCGACTGCCATAAGACTGACAATGACTGCCAGCGACTGCCAAGGAAATGTACATGTAATTCCAATAGTGAGACACCCCTCGTTCCTATGTAATTTAAATGGGAAATGAATCGTCTCTGGGGCAAGGTTTATTGTGAATATTAACCCTTAACTAGTTCGGCGCGGCGTCGTCTGACAGACTACGCCAAATAATTAACTCAGTCTCATTAGTTACTGGGACCGCCCACACGATTGGCGTTCTAGCTAATCCTACCCCTCTAGGTCAACAACTGATAGCCATATTTGTGGCCAAACTGGATTAGTTTTTTAGAAGTCCTGGAAGAAGTTACTGAAGCGTAGTCTCGCAGACGACGCGACGGCGACGCCGCGCCGGACCGTTTGTCTTAAATTTTATGTGTGACACATTTTTGTAAAATATGACGGGGTCTTAGAAAAGAGTGCGTTTAAGAGACTCTAGTTATGAGGAAACTCTATTAAAATGATATAATGAGGACTGTGACAGTGACAATATGACAATCTGCCAGACAAATGCATTTGACAATGTCAAATATTCCACGAGAAATATGCTTTACAATTGGTAGAATACTTGCAATTCCTGTACAACCAGAAGACGCCCACGGAGATATTTTTATCCTAGAGTTTTTATCCTAGTCAAAGACAATGTTATGTCCTATTTAATTATTTTTAATACCTAGAATGTACGAATTCATTGTGTAAAACATGTTCAGAAAAACAATGAAATTTGCCTCATGCTGTAACTAAAAACTTTTTCTTTAACTCCAGTTGTATAACTTATTTTTATTACATATAGTATTAAAAACTTATTTTTATATTGTAATGACTATTAGTACAGTATAACTTCGGCAATCCGTACACCTCGTAAACCGTATACTCCAGTCAATCGGACACCCGCTACAGTTCGGACATTTTCAGATTTTTACCTTTTGTAATTCGGACACTACTAAAAAGCATGACAAATTACAACGGCTAAATGCGAAAAAGTATACTAGTATGTATACATATGTAAAGAAATATTTTTTTACATGCAGCGGCTTGTCCAGTCGAGTCGTACGTAGTATTTATTTGGCGCCGAGTGTTAGACCACGTGTAAAAAATGACTCCAACGAAACGCGTCCATTGCTCTGCTACTATTAAAGAGAAGTGTAAAATTCTTGACAGTTTAGATGCAGGTGGTAGTGTTCGGCATGTTGCGAAACTTTTCAAGATACCAAAATCAACAGTATCCGATATAAAGAAGAACAGAGTGAAGATTCGAAATTTTGTTGCGAGGTCGTACACTGATATAGGTAAGTTTTATGAATAAATGCTGGGTTTTGAGTTTGCACTAAAGATATGTAATGTTTTTTAGGCCAGAGAAAAGTTATGAAAAAGCCCGAGAATCCTGATGTGGAAGAGGCGTTATACACTTGGTTTCTACAGCAACGTAAAAATCACATTCCTGTCTCTAGTGAAGTCTTGCGCACAAAAGCCAGATTTTTTTATGAGCGCATCACTGGAAAGACTAACTTTCAAGCTAGTTCAGGATGGCTTGACAAATTTAAGGCAAGACGCGGCATTCGTTTTTTAAAAGTATGCGGAGAACGTGTTTCAAGTGACGCTGAAGCAGTTGCTCCTTTCCAACTTAAACTGCAAGCCCTGATTGAGAAAATGCAATTAACTAAAGAGCAAGTCTACAATGCGGATGAATCCGCACTTTTTTGGAGGGTTTTGCCAAACACAACGTGGGTGCATAAAGATGAGAAATCGGCACCAGGGAGGAAAGTTTCAAAAGACCGTGTAACCTTTATGCCATGCTCAAATGCATCAGGCACACATAAGTTGCCGTTACTTGTGTTAGGTAAATCTAAGAACCCCCGAGTTTTCAAAAATGCACAGTTGCCGTGAAATACGAGGCTAGTACCAAAGGATGGATGACCCAGAAACATATTCTCTGAGTGGTTTAAAACAATATTTGTTCCTGAAGTGAAACAATATCTGAGTAACGCCAATAAGCCATGCAGGGCACTGCTTCTTGTTGACAATGCGCCTTCACACCCACCCGAAGAAGAGCTCAATACGAATCCAAATTTCATAGTGGTATTTTTGCCTCCTAATTGTACTGCATTAGTTCAGCCAATGGATCAGAACTTGATACAAAATATCAAGGTTTCTTATAGAAGGCAATTGCTGACCCACATTAAATCACAAGAAAACAAAGACACAATGCAACTCCTGAAGAAATTTAGTCTTCTGGATGCAGTGAATACTCTCGACTCTGCTTGGAAGTCCATAACCGAAAAGAATATTAAAAAAAGCTTGGATGGAATATGACAATTCTCCAATCCGGACGACCACCTAAACTATATCTGTCCGGATTACCGAAGTTCTACTGTAATTTGGTTTTATTTTTAGAGCTTAGTATAAACCTATATTGTTTTTTTTTCAAATTTATATGTATGTTATTTTATTTTGTAGTATATTTTCTGAAAATGTAGATATTAATTGAACCCATTTTTGTCTAGATTAGTTTAATAATACATAATATAATATATAATGAAATAAAAATTTGATATTTTTTAGTTTTTGTGTGTTTTTTGATTTTTAGAAGGCGTAGTCCTACAGACTACGCCGGACCGTTTATGATACATATCTATTACCGGACCAGTTAAGGGTTAAGGGTTTACAATGGTCTGTTATTTTTTGAGACAATAAACTAAAAATTTAGAGGGCGTCGTGAGAGAAATGATCAACTTAGTAAATAACGGACACCCTAATGCACATCTACACCTAAAAAAGATTTCATATTTAATGCGACCGAATGCAAACGAATGGTAACATTTGTCAGATGTATCCACGTATATGGTACGGCAACCGTTCGGGCCATAAACTTTGGTACGGCGCTGATGTCGAGTATGGAGCGCTGGCTTCTGTGGAGCTATCTCAGATACTGGCTTTTGTCAAAGTCCTGAGCCCTAAGACTGTATGGTATGATAAGTTATAACTCAAGAAAGCGGAACACACAATAGATCTGTAAGATCGCAGTGATTAACCCCCCTCCTAAACATTCTACAAGTCTACGCGAATATCTGCAAAACCGATAAAATTTTTAAATACTTTAAATACAAAAAAAGTTTATTTTTTAATACTGCAACTAACAAAAAAATAATACAGGGTGTTCCATTAAAGAAAAACAAAGAAAAAGTATTTTTTCTACGATCTTGCAAAAAGTAGCTATTTTTTACACTATCTGCTACTCTATAAAAGTAAAATTTTTTACGCTGGTGCAAAAAATAAGATATTTTTGGGCAAAAAACAATTTGACATTTTTAATGACGAGTTTAACTAAAGAGAAAAAAAAATAAATTTTTGTAAAAAATTGTCAAATCCTGGAAGGTAAACCAAGTACCAGTACACCTCGCAACAATTAGAATTTAGAATTTAGAATGAGTGGGAGGGGGGTTAATCACTTCGACCTTACAGATCCATTGTGTCCCCCTTTCTTGAATCATAACTCATCATACAGTTCCAGGGCTTTGACAAAAGCCAGTATCTGGGACGGTTTTATAGAGGATAGTTCTCCATCTCCAATATCAGTCGTACCAAAATTCATAGCACGAATGGTTGTCGTCTCGGCGCACTCAGTGATGAGGTGTACTGGTGTTTCCCCATCTTCCCCACAGAATCTGCATTCGCCGTTTCTTCTTAGTTTCAATCTACTGAAGTGTTCATTGAGGAGACAGTGTCCTGTTAAAAACCCCATGACAATCCGAAGATTGTTCTTACTCAGACCCAGGAAGATCTGTGATTTTTCTTCATCATAAGCCCTCAGAAACTTCTTCGAGTGTCTTAGACCATTGGAAAATTTCCATTCCAGGTTGCGGATGGAATCTTCCAAGTTCTTGAGTTCCGCCTTGAGTTGGTTACCACTTGGAAAGCAGAACGGTTCTGGTTCAGTTAGTGGAGTGTTCGCTGCTTTCCTAGCTAGATTATTTGCTTTTTCATTGCCTTCTATCCCTTGGTGAGCAGGCACCCAGTGTAGGAGGACTTTGTTTTCTTTGCCTAATTTATTCAGCTTCTCTATGCATTCTTTGACCAATTTCGAATTGATTGATACTGAGTTGATCGCCTTTAACGCTGCTTGACTATCAGACAAGATGGCTATTTTTGTTTCCGATAGTTCCTATCTAAGATAAGTTGTACGCATCTCTCGATAGCGTAGATTTCTGCCTGTAGGATACTAGGGTAAGTGCCCATTGGTTCGGAGTAATTAGCTCTCGGCGCAAACACTCCGATCCCTGTTCCCGTATTGGTTTTGGAAGCATCAGTATACCAAGTTATGGTATGGTCTTTTAACTGCTGGGCAAGCGTTTCGCTCTTCCAATCCTTCTTATTGCTCAATACTACATTGACATGTTTGTCAAAGTTGTACACGTCTTGGCATATCGTCCACTGGGAGTTACAGGAGTGGTATTTCCTTTTTTGAGGGTGTTCCAAGCCCCTGATCTGACAATTCTCCCAGTACTAATTCCGTTAGTGACCATTCTAATCATTGTCGCATTGGCATATCTACCAATGACAATGTGCAGTGGTGTTAGATCTAGAATGACCTCCATTGCTGCTGTTGGACAGGTTCTCATGGCTCCTGTGATGCAAACACATGCTAGTCTCTGGACTTTGCATAGGTTTAGCCTTGCCGTCCGTTGCTCTAGTTTTGTGTACCAGGCAACTGCTCCATAAGTAATCATGGGTCTTACTATCATGGTATACATCCAGCGCAAAATGTTAGGGGAGCAGCCCCATCTATTTCCGGCCAGTCTTCTGCATATCATGAGAGCCTTTATGGCTTTGCTGGTAGTGTTCTTAATATGCCTGTTCCACAGGAGTTTACTGTCCAGGGTTATTCCCAGGTATTTAACTTCCTGTGTTGGCAGTATTTCCTTTCCATCTAGTTGGATTCTTTTCAAGTTTTTCAGACTTCGCCTTCTGGTGAATGGCACTATCGCGGTTTTGTCTGAGTTGATACTCAGCCCGACAGTCCTACACCATCTCTCAGTGATACGGAGTCCTCTTTGGATAATATCACACAAGGTGCCTTCATGTTTCCCCCGAGCGATCATGACTATGTCATCTGCATACCCAATGCAGTGTATTCCCGCTAGAGTTAATTCATCTAGTAGTTCATCCACCACCAAGCTCCACAGCAAAGGGGAGGTTACTCCACCTTGTGGAGTTCCTTGCGTTGTTTTAACAGCTACAGTTTTGGTGCCCATCTGAGCCTCTGCTGTTCGTGTTGACAGCATTTCCCAAAACCAGCGAATAATAGTTCTGTTCACCCCTCTTGTTTCTAGAGATCGCCTGACCACCTTATGTGGTATATTGTCAAACGCCCCCGCAATATCCAAGAAGGCACAAATTGCTGTTTCTTTGCTATCCAGACTTGTCTGTATTAGCTCCGTTAATTGGTACAGAGCAGTTTCTGTGGATCTGCCCGTTCTATATGCATGCTGACTATCATGCAGTGGTTTAACCTTTAGATGATTTTCTCCAATATGGTTGTCAACTACTTTCTCCAGCGTTTTTAGTATGAACGATGTGAGACAAATAGGCCTAAATGACTTGGGATTTGTCCAGTCAGTTTTGCCTATTTTGGGTATGAAGATTACTTTTGCTCTTCTCCATGTGGTTGGTATATATCCCATCGCTAGACTGCTTCTTGTAATGCTTAGTAGATGGTGAGTAGCTATTTGCTGACCCTCCTTTAGAAGGGCAGGAAAGATCCCATCCACTCCTGCTGCTTTATAGGGCTGAAAGGTGTCGATCGCCCATTTCAGCTTTTGTTCTGTTATTACTAGCTTGGCCACTTCCCAATCTTCCCTGCAAGGATTGTGGGGTTCAGTGGGAGCTACATAAGTATCAATAGGTATGCTACCTGGAAAGTGTGTATAAGGTAGGAGATTTCCTCTCTCTTCCTCTCCCTCCGTGTAGCTTCCGTCAGATTTCTTAAGTGCCATGTTGGGGATAGATCCACTCTTGGCCATAGCTTTGTGTAATCTAGCTGCATCAGGAGTAGAAGTGATGTTTTCGCAAAAGGATTTAAAGTCAGACCGCTTTGCCCTTCTTATCTCCTTCTTATACTCAGTTAATTTCTCGCTGTAGAGCTGCCATTCGCCACTGGATTTAGCTCTATTAAAGAGTCGTCGGACCTCCGATCTAAGTTTGGCCAACTTCTTGTTCCACCAGAGCTTGTTGTTACTTTTTTGTATGCCTTTACTTGCGGGGCAACTAGATTCATATGCATCCAATATTGCACCGCTGACTTCCCTTGCGTACCATTCTAGATGCAGATGGTTTCTAGCCCTACTTGCATCTATACGGTTTAGGTTGTCTACGAGATTGGTGTTATACATGTCCCAGTCTGTTTTTCTTGGATTCCTTCGAGTTTCTGTTTGGGATGTGATTCCTCCTAATTTGAACTCGATGATTCTGTGATCTGATAGGGAGGGTTCCGTTGAGACCCTCCATTGTTTCACGTAACCTCGCAACAACATTCCGGAAAAGAGTTTTAAGTGAAGAACCAGAACTCAAGACCTCCACGAGCATAAACGAAAATAAAATTTAAAAAACTACTACTGGAAATTAAAATGAACTCCAAAAAAATTATTAAAAAAAAAATTAATTGTTTATATATACCGTCCTTTAAATGGTAATATTATTCTGTGAATTATTCTAAAAACTTTTTAATAAACAAACAAATAAGAATTTCAATTCGATCGTAGAAAAAATGTGTGCAACTTGTGCAAAAAGCATATTTGTTGCACTCAGCATGATTGCAGTTCTCGACTTCGTCTAGAGCTGCAAAACTCATGCGTCGTACAACAAATATTATGTCTTTTTAAGTTACACAAATAACTATTATAACGTTGAAAATTTGAATGGAATTTTAAACATTCTGTATTATTTCAGATTACGAAATTTATAGCTAAGTACAGACTAACTATAGTAAATATTTATTAATTATTAAAACTAAAGGAGTTTGGGACTTCCATTGTCTTTATTTATTTTTTGCTTACACAACGTTTCGGTCAAAAGTATCACTGACCGTTATCAAGTGTGAACTGATATGGATTATGTGGATTATGTACTTTGAGTAAAGTTTTGAGTCAACTCTTCCCCCCCCCCCCTTTTTCCAAATCCTGGATCCGCCCTTGCTTCTAAATCTATTCTGTAAATAGGACTAGAGCTACTAGAGCAGTATCTTTGGTAGTAGTAGGATCTTAAAATGGGTATTTATGATAGATACATACATACTAAGGGAAAAGTATAGAGCGTTCTATAAAAAGTTCAAATTTTGCATAATAATGCCAGTATATCTATGAACATCTTTATTTTTAAAATGTGGGTATCTATATCTAGGAAAATATTTTTAAAATGCAGGCTACTATTTATTCCCTGTGTATGTATGTGTATATATTTGGTAAAAAGGTTTGAGCAACTTATGATATTTATAAGTTTGAAATTTAAAAAATTTGCAACTAAAAATGTACTATTTTGATAAAAATTTTATAAAAATATAAAATAACCTTTTCTTATTTAACTTATTAACTAGAAAGTCCTACATCACTTATTTATCACTATCACTATAAATAATATTCTGGTGTATAATATCGTTATTACATAAATATAATAGTACTCCTAGTCGTATAAGGAGATCATAATCATAAAGCAGATATTTTATTTTATAAAGTGGCGGCAAATAGCATACAAATATCTGGTTGCCTATCCAAGACTGTCAAAACCAAAGGTCAAAATAAATGTATATTTTTCTGAAATTTCAAATAACTTTCAAATTAAAAATACAAAATCAACATGAGTTTGGTAGAAGTTGGACCTTTAGATATTGCCACAATTAACGAAAAGGTTGTACAGTGTTGTGATAAACATATTCTAGTCGATTCAAAAATTATTCGTCGAGAGGGTGAAAATATAAGTTATATAAATATTCAAAGTATGTATGTACATTTTAGGTTATTTGGTATTTATCTTTTGCACTTAAGTTTATCTTACTTTATCTTTTTAGTTTAAATTTATCTTAATAAAAGCATTATATTATTTGGATTATATATATTTTTTTAATTCAATAATATAATATAACATAATCATAAATAGAAATATAATCAGATATAATAAAAGCTTTATTATATCATCTTTTAAAATAGCCCATTTTATATTTTTGTAGGTTTTAATCCCGAAGCAGAACTGGCACATAGGAATGACATAATTCGGCACAAAGATCATTTAATTTCTAGTCTAGAAAAAGAAAATTTGTTTTTAAAAGAACAGCTGAGAGCTTTAAATTGTTTAGTAGACCAAGTGACAGCAGCAAATCGAATATCCAGCGTTGCCAATGGTCCAAAATTATATTCCACGGCGAACATACCCAAATTCCACAAAATTCCACAATCACTAGCCAGGTTCGGTCTTTAGGTCTGCGACCAATCCGATATTTTTTTTATATAAACCACGTGATCTTAAAGGGATTTTACATTATATAGTGACGTGTGATATCTGATATGTCGAAAATTTCGTCGGATTGCTTGCAGATCTAAATACCGAACCTAGCTGCTAACCTCGACGGCGACGCTCTTTTTACAGAAATCTGTAAAATTATGATGAGTTCTATAATATTTTTTTTTACTATTAGCTAAATAAGGAAAAAAAAAAGAAAAAAAGGAATAATTCCGAAAATTCCACAAAATTCCACATTTATTCTATTCCACAAACGTTCCACAACATTATTACGAATTCCACACATTTTGTGGAATTCCACAAAGATTGGCAACGCTGCGAATATCTGCTGCCAAAAATGATATTCGAATAAGAGTTGAAAACTCTTCGCATAGTCCGTACATAAGATGGTGGAGAAGGCCTAGAGTTGTTCTTTCGGGTAGTGCAATTTTAGTATTATTTTCAATTTATGTAAGATATAAAGTTAAACATTGGTCCTAAATAACATGTAAACGTTTTTGAATTTGTTATATATTTTCTGTACAAAAAATAATAATAAAGAACTTGTCAAGACTACAAGATTTTGTAATAAATAGACTAATGAATTATGTGATATATTTCAAATCTTTTACTAGAGCCTGAATAGAGCTTTTACTTTATATTTTAAATTTGAATACGAAGTTTCCAAATTCTTGAACGCCGAAATTTAGTAAATTGGTTACATATTGGTTATGTAACCCTTAAAACATTACATTTATAACTCGGCAACTCTTTATACTGTAATCATTGATTTAATTTGATTTGAAACTTGAAACAGCTGTTTCTAAATATGTCAAAATAATAACAATTTTGACATTAGTTATGTCCAAAAATTCTTAATTTTTACTAATTTCCAAATATGTAATTATAGTCTATTACTAAATTAATACTGTTTAAATTAGTTGGCGGACAATGAATGTTAATCTTTCGTCCTTCAGTTACTGGGCTTTGGACCCACACTTCATGGATACTGAACAAGAATTTGAAGACAAGACAAAATTATTTTACCAATCTGCAATGTGTTTAATGAATCCTAAACAGGACCCGCCGATTTTCAGCAAGCCTGTGACTGCTTTTCCACCTGAACCTAATCCTTGTGAGTGTAGAGAACCTGAAAATTATAGTGTTCCTCATCACGATGAGCGAATTCTAAAATTTACTCAAACAAATGAGACCATTGAAGTTGAATTGGAAAGCCAGAAGCCTCCATTGCCTTCTCAAGTTTTAATAAAAGACCCAGAGAAATATAAAAGTGAGGACAGACCGTATAAATGTTCGAGGCCTATGTGTAATAAGACATTTCTTTTAAAACACCATCTAACAACACATGAAAAGACGCATACAGGAGAGAGACCTCATGTTTGTGTACATTGTGGAAAGAGTTTTACTCATAAGTATTGCTTAAATACCCATTTATTATTGCACTCAAATGAAAGACCATATCAGTGTCCGGAATGCAAAAAGCGTTTTACTTTAAAACATCATTTAATGAGTCACACAAATGTAAGATTTAGTCAATACAAAATGAATTTAAATAATTATTCAGTTATTAGAATAGTGTCATTAATATTTGTTTTGTCAGGTTCATAGAAGAGAGAGACCTTTTCATTGCGGTGAGTGTGGAAAAAGTTTTCCGCTAAAGAAGCAACTGATCACGCATGAAAAATATCATAAAGGTGAAAGACCATATGTATGTAAGGATTGTGGTGATACATTTGCTCAAGAAAATCATTTGGTAATTATCTTTTAAATTAATATTATTTTTTTAATGGAAAAGTGAATTTAAAACTTTTATGATCCCTAAATTAAGCAATAATGATAAAATTATCCTCAAGGCATGTTCCAAAGAAAGTTGTTACCTTTGAAATGGGTGATAAATGTATGAATATATTACTTATGTAGTTGTATTTGTTTTTAGGTGATGCACCTAAGATTTCATGGTTCTTTGACTTCCTTTGTATGTAGAGATTGTGGAGCAACCTTTACTAGGAAATTTGAGCTAGATAACCATGAAAAGCTTCATGGAAAACAACCTTTAATTTGTCCAACTTGCAACAAAGAATTTTTACAAAAGCGAACTCTCCTAGCTCACATAAAGTAAGTGATATATTTCACATTACTGATATTTTTATCTCAAATCTGTGCCATTTGATTTGATATAATTGAACTAAATTAATAACTTATATTTTTTATTACTTTTAACAATCTTTTTGTAATAGAAAAATACTGTCTGGTATTTCATTTTTAACTCTATGGGTATTTCCATAGAGGGTATTTCAATGGAATTATTATTATTATCATAAACATATCCAGCATATATATTTTAGAATTATATATGCCTGTCTAAAGGGTGTTTTTCTCGGGTTGAGGTCTTTTTTGTGAAAAATGTAATTATGTCTGTTATTTTGATGCATTTGAAAGACACTTGAAATTGGTTTCAAGTTTTAGATGCGAATGCCTCAAAATAAAACTAAAAAAGGTAAATAATGGGAAATATGTGCTTTTAATTGGCCAGAAGCAAGTCGTAATAGAGAGATATCGCTAAACCGAATAGCGTGCATGGACGTTAATAAGGGTGTTATTTCCTTTACGTGAGGTGGTATTAACTCTCTTCATTTATAGTTATCGGATCGGAAAGAATTCTGTTCTCGTCGCGTCCGCTTTTTAAACTTATAACCTAACTTTGAATTTTTCTTGTTTACTAGGTATTTTAAAACTAAAGGTCTAAAGTGCTTATTTCCAGTGCTTCATTGTTCATCGTCTGACAGTGGGTTTAGGGCAACAAACAACAAATTCTCTTAGAAGAGTTAAGTCGTTTATAGCCTCTTTATAGGTTCTTTAATATTGGAAGAGGTGGAATCCATATTTTGGGCCATATTTATTTAATTAAAACTAATCCCAGCTACTTAAATATCAAATTACCTAATAAAACTAAAGTAATAATTAACAATTCAAACATAACCTAAAATAAAAGATCTCGCCGGCCGGCCCCAGCAATTTTTAAACGTTATTTAGAAATAGCGCTTGGTGTAGTTGATCCGCAAATTACGTCAGGCGCTAACGTTTATAGCGGGTGTTGCGTTAAAAATTGACTCGCGCATATCGTAACCATGATAAGGTACGCGTAAATACTGCATGACGCTATTCGGTTTTCCGATATCTCTAATAACTGTGCACAATTTTAGAGGCCATAAGTGGGCGTGCTATGTGCGCATACTAGTATCCTAACTAGTGCCCGATTCCGAAAATTGGAACCACGAAAAACTATAAAGAAAATACAAAGTTTATAATCTGTATGACCTGTGATAATGACGACAAAATTATAAAGTATTTATAATTTGCAAATAAATTATTTATAATCGCTCTTGAAGTTAGCTCAAACCGTAGTAACCGCATAGCGACGTGTTTAGCTCCAGCCGTCGCGATTTCGTCGGTCGCCAACAGTAGTATCAGGAACTGCTATGTCCGTAGCGCCGCGCAATCTCGGTCGGTACCTGTTCGCTCCAGCCGTCGCGCTCCTAGAATTGTAGTTCCCTGTCGCGAACAGAAGTAACTGGTCCTGAACTGGTGCCTGCTGTAACTGGCTATCGACGCTCGACCTCGGCGGCGCGGCGGCGGCGACTTACTTCGTTCCAGCAGTCGCTGGAGCACTTCTAGGGATCCGTTTTTGCCTGTTGCGATTTGGTCGGTTACTATTGGCGTTGGTGCTCCCGTCGCTACGTTACTTTCGAAATAGCGATTTTTGGTATGTACTAGGCATGGCATAAAATAGCGTTGTTAGAAAGATGAAACGTAAAAGCAAATAAAATAAAATAAAAATGTTATTTGCTTTTATACATTTATATAAGTCTATTGTTATAATTTCAGACAAAAACTGAAATAATTACAATAGTAATAACAACAAAGAAAATAATCTATACAACTATAGCATAACTAAACAGGATTAAATAAAAAAAAATATACAGGGTGGCGCATCTCATTTGCCTCTGTTGATTATATAAAAACAGAAAAATGTAGAAACAAAATATTTTATGAGTATATGTGGGGAGGCAATGTGGCACAATTTAAAATTATTTTGAAATATACAGGGTGTTTCAGAGCTAAGATCCATACCAAAGTTATATTTTTTCTTATGGAACACCCGGTATTTTATTTCGTTTTTGAATTCTTGGGCCCTAAAAAGGTATTTATTATAAGGGTTAGATATGTTTAAAATTTTGGTTTTTGAGATGTTTAAAGGTATTTAAACACGCATGATATAATAAAATAGATTATCAACATCCTGTATATTACTTTTCAGAATTAATTCTTATGCTGAGGTTAAAGGTAGAGAAACAAACTTTACTGAGAAATGTTATTTGCTTCCTTAAATTTATACAAGGGTACCAAAAATTGCTGATCTATTTTAAATATAATATTTTTTTTATGTAACATATGTTATATTTTACATAAGAACCTTGTTATTTCAAATGCAACACTCTGTATTTTTTAAAATGAATCGAAGCAAATTTAAATGTTCTTTCAAACTATATTAGGGTTTGCTATACCTATCTAGCTCAGATTTTGAATAAAAAACGATTTTTCAATAAAATGGCAATCAAGATGGCTGGTGTCGCCATGGCAATTTTCTAGTGACGGTAAGTAACTATTTTCAAAATCGACATTAGTTTATGGACTTTATTATTTAGATTTATAACAGTTTTCTTAAATTTACCTAGTTTAACAAGTAAGTATTCATTATTTTATCAAGAAAAATAAATCGGTATCTGCTGGCGGAAAGATTGGATATGTTACTAGTGATTTTATTTTGTGAGGAAAATTTCCTCTTGGCCTCAAGGGCTTGTGCTCAAAGATATCCAAATAGGAATCTTCCTAATAAGCGTTCCTTTGATAATCTACTTATTGTCCTATTTCGCAAAACTGGTAGTATGGTTTACAAAAAGCCTATTAGGCAGAATCCTGTCGTTGGAAGTGAAGAAAATGAATTTGCCCTAATTGGTTCTATTATAGAAAATCCATATATCTACAAGTCGAAAAATAAATCAAAGAACTACTTCGTTTTTCTTGATAGAATAATATAAAATACATATTTAATAAATATTATTTATTAAACTATTGTGACGACAAAAAAATAATTCAAAATCAACAATGCAATAATAGTTTTGTTTAAATTTCTTAATCAGGTGAGCCCTATTTTAGCTTGCAGAAATCCGAGCTACATTATTACATTACTCTAAGGGAGATACCGAAAATAATCCATATTTTTTACTCCGTCCCTAATCACATGTTTCATTCTTTAACGCTTCACATTTGCTCACCAGCTGGCAGCACATTTTGTCCTACCGGTTGAGTAACTTTTGAGAATATGTAAACAAGGCTGCAGCTAACCCACATTCTGTAAGCATAATTTTTATTCCAGGTCTCACGAAAGTAAAACCACTTGTAGACATTGCGGTACGACCTTCCCCGACGAGAGGACTTTGGAGGCCCATCTAGCCACGGTTCATATGTACAGAGACAAACATCCTCCTCTCCCGCCTAAGTCGATGAGTCCCCCGCCGAAAACCAAGGGCTCGCCCCGATCCAACAAGAACAAAAAGTACTTTTGCGACATCTGTTTCCGGAAGTTCAGCGCCAAGCACGGCCTCACCCAGCACAAGAAACGTCAACATAATATAGGAGGCAATTTGTTCGCCTGCCACATATGCAACAAAAGCTTTAGGGAGAAAAACGAGCTTTTAATGCATAAACACATTCCTTAGTAGAGACAGCTATTTGGGGTTATGTAATAAGGAGTATAGGAAAAAACTTATACAATTGTAGTTTCGTTCCAACACAGAAAAATTTATCTTTCTAGATCGGTAATTGGGATCACCGGGATCGGATTTGTACAGGGTGGGTCAAATTGGACGCTTTTAAAGGGAAACACCCTTTTCTATAGGAGATAGACCAAAACTAATATCGGTGTCTGGAGCTCAATTTTTATCAAAAACATGATGGTGAAAACCGCACGTCGATATTTGTTACCGTTTCGGAGTTACGGGATGTTTTTCGAAAATATGCATTTTTAAAAAATCGCTTTTTCAAAGCACTTTTTTACGTAGAATTTAATGGTTTAAGTATAATTTTTTTTAAAATTAATAATTTAAGAATTATAAACAGAAAATTTGATTTTTTATACGGAACACCCTGTATATTTTTAATTCATTGGAAAGAACTTAAAATTACCTTTCCAAAAATATAGCAACCTCGATATTTTGCTCGATTCCTCTTCGAGATATAGAGTTTTTAAAAATTCGCCCACTTTGAATAAGTAGGCTTTGAACTGCGTCGGCTGTAATGCAAAAAAATTCTACCTGTGAGCAGCAGTTAAAACGAAAATAATATTTGCAATGAGAGATGCAGAATTTTATAACAATTTTTATTATATTTAACAACATCCAACACATTTAAAGTATATCTAATAACAATAAAAATTAATAGCAAACCAAGACCTGAGATTTTGCTACAGGTTTTCGACATATCGACCGTCTTCTGTTATGGACAGACGGGGCAGTTGTTGAACATTTCTCGCGGAATTCATTAACTCAGTGGGGGTGAAAGATACCTTCTCATAACTGCTAAGTATTTCTAATTATTGTCTAGATTATACGGACGAATAAGGAACCTTTATTCTTCCGCAAATATATCCATAGGATTAGATCCATGGGCACTAAGTCAGGCGGCCTCGACGGCCAAAGGCTGGGATCTTGGTTAGCTATTCAATTATTCTTGAAATTGGCTGCAAAAATTTGCTGATAACTTCAGCGTTCAGAGGCGGTGCGTCGTTTTGCTGGAAAAATATGTTTTCGAGTTCCATTAAGGGCATATCATCAATAAGGGGTCCAAAGCCTACTAGTTAAAAGTGGCGAACTTTTAAAAATTCTGTATTTCGAAGGGGATTATAACAAAATATCAAGTGTGCTATTTTTGGAAAGGTAATTTTAAATTCTTTTCAGTTAATTAAAAATATAGGGGGTGTCCCAAATAAAAAATCAATTTTTCTGTTGAAAACTCTTAAATTATTAATTTTAAAAAAATTATACTTTAACCATTAAATCCTACGTAAAAAGGTGCTTTGGAAATGTTTTCATAGAAATACAAAATTTTCCATAGCAAAAAAGTTACAGCGATTTATTAAAAATGCACATTTTTGAAAAACACCCCGTAACTCCGAAACGGTAACAGATATTGATGTGCGGTTTTCACCATCACGTTTTTGATAAAAATTGAGCTCCAGACACCGATATTAGTTTTCGTCTATTTCCTATAGAAAAGGGTGTTTCCATTTAAAAGTGTCGAATTTGACCCATCCTGTACAGACCGGATCGTTTTGGAACATTTCTCGCGGAATTCATTAACTCAGTGGGGATGAAAGATACCCTCGCATAACTGCTAAGTAATTCTAATTCTTGTCTAGATTATACGGGCAAATTTAAAAATAAAAACCTTTATTCTTCCGCAAAGGTAAAATCCTATAGGCACTAAGCTCGGCGGCCTCGATAGCCAACGGCTGGGATCTTGGTTAGCTATTTAATAATTATTCTCGAAATTTGCTGATAACCTCAGGGCTCTGAGGCGGTGCCTCGTATTGCTGGAGAAATATGTTTTCGAGTTCCATTAGCGGCAGATCATTAATAAGGGCTCCAAAGCCTACTAGTTAAAAGTGACGAACTTTTAAAAATTCTGTAAGAGGAGTATAACAAAATATCAAGTGAGCTATATTTTTGGAAAGGTAATTTTAAGTTCTTTTCATTTAATTAAAAATATACAGGGTATTCCAAAGAAAAAATCAATTTTTCTGTTGATAACTCTTAAATTATTAATTTTAAAAAAATTGTACTTAAACCATTAAATTCTACGTAAAAAGGTACTTTGAAAATGTTTTCATAAAAATACAAAATTTTCCATAGCAAAAAAGTTTAGCGATTTGTTAAAAATGCATTTTTGAAAAACACCCCCTAACTCAAACGGTAACAGATATATCCCATCATACCATCATATTTTTGATTGAATTGAAATCAGAAATTGAGCTCCAGACACCGATATTAGTTTTTGTCTATCTCCTATAGGAAAGGGTGTTTCCCTTTAAAAGATTCGAATTTGACCCACCCTATACACACGTGTCGACTTGGATAGTTTTTTTATGAAACCAAAATTATACGGGGTTGGAACAGTTTGTGAACGGATTTTAGAAACAAGTTCATAACTTCCCAAGTAGCATCTATCTGACTTCGAACTAAATCTGACCTGAAGCGACGTCAGACTTTGTGCAAATTTAGGTCGGGTGCTGGTGATACGACCGGTGACGTCGCTTTCCTATTAAAAGCGACGTCGTTGGATCCGAGTCGGTAAATCCAACGATCTGTCGACGTACAAAATAACAACGTACCATTTTTATTAATTTCCCAACGTCGTTCCCACGTTGGCTTGCACGACGATACATATACTTGAACTAGCCCGACGTCTACCCGTTGTCCGAATAGGATACGTCTCACTGATAATCCCTAAAGTAACGTCCAATTATATTTTGTTGTATTTTATGTTCATATTTATAACCTAATTTACGTATCTCTATTTACGTCCGTAAATACAACCCATTAAGTAGCATTTGCGACCTAATGAACATCATGAACATAACCTAATAAAAAGTTTTTGTAAACAAACTTAATTTTTTTATTATGCCTAAAGAAAACATTAAAAAATTTGAACATTCATCTATATTTTACAGAAAGAGATTGAGGCTTTTGCCCCCATCCTCCAAAGACCCCATCCTCCTCCCACATGTGAGGTTAGGCTTAAAAAAGTGGCTGCCCATTTTTTTTAAGGAGAAAACAAAAACTAAAATATAGTTGCATAAATCCACAAATCACTGATACGCAAAGTGAGGTTACGTGGCGTACGTTGTATGGTACGTTGGAATTATATACATCATAATACGATTGCCGGTCGTCCGGTTTGATGACTTCGGTCGTGTGAGACGACTAATGTTGGAGACCCGGTCGGAATTGGTATATTGGTAGTTCATATTAAGTCGGACACAGAAATCCGCCATTCTTAACAAGTATCCGATTGTCAGCCATTTTATAAACGTTTTTTGTTTTTAAAATTTATATTCAATAATATTGATAAGGTTGAGTTTGGGGGGAACCACAGTACAGTTTTATGATTAAACCAGCTAGAAAATTAAAAAAACTATTTTGCGAGTTACTTTTTTATAGACATTTTTATTTCATAAATCTACCTAATTTTGAAGGCGCTCATTGTTTTCCGGAGTATTTTAATCAGATATATCAAAAAAGTGCCTTCCGTTGACAAAACTGATGTCTGGATTAATGATTCAGAATTATTATATGAAATTAGATAGGCACTTATAGTTATATTCGAGGAGTGATTATGAATCCATTTGTAATTAGGTTTTTATGTATTCTTGGTAGCGAATATGAAACCAAACGTAACGTAAGTGCTTATCGACGAATTTTAAGTGACTAAAATCCAACGTAATATGACGTTACGTGAACTATAAATACCAAATAAAAACAGAAATATCCAAAAATTAAAAAAAACCATCTGACACAGTGCTTAATACGCAGGTCAGTTCTTTTGATGCTTCCTTTTAGGCTGGTATCGAAATTACCGTTCCAAAACCGGTTGACTAACGATTACAACTCTGTTACAACTGGTTGGGTCGCAAAAGGATCCTCTCCTCGTTGGAACGTATTTTCTCCACTGCGCAGAAGCTTTACCCTACCGAGATCGGGTTTCTGCTGTGTTGGAACGAACCTTGTAATAGGAGTTTTGGTTTGAATCGACCTAATAGTTTATTTTATGTTGACTACCAACTCACCACAACCTAATAATGTATAAATAAAAGTACATTTGCCATAGTTAGATAATGTAACACCAGTAATATTTTAGATTTAGCGACACTTCCTTTATATGATACAGTTTTACATTTCAGTAGTTTGAATGACTATACATTTAGATTTATAGGATTATTGATCAGGCGCGGCTCTGTACGTTTTTTTGTACATACTATAACGCCAAGAGACAGTCTTGGGTCGGTACTTACATGTCTAGGAGTGAATTGCTATGGCGATCTTGTAAGTCAGAGAGAGAAAAATGTGAAGTGTTTATTACATAACTACCTAATTCGACGCTATATTTCAGGTGCTTGAAGAAATACTAAGTAAGAAAGAAGAACAAATCTTGTTCTTCTTTCTTTGTTTAGTACATCTTATGGCATATTGACTGTACTCTTCTTACAAACGAAAATCTGCATCCAATGCCAGACCTTGCCGACCCTGTATATGTTACAAAAAATTTTGTAGGCAATATGTAGGCAATATTAGGCAAAACGTATGATCTAAGAAATAAAACAATAAGATTTTCTGCCGTTTCTTTTCCGGTCAAATTTTAATTTGATTCAAAATACAATAGTTATTTTAGTTATATTATGTTATACCGTGTAAACTATAACTTGGGTAGCTTTTATTGAAATTTAAAATGTCTTCTTCATTTTTAGATATGTCAAAAATCTTAATTTTTAGTCAAATGCTTCTATTATCAAACTCACTTTATTTTTTTTTCTAGAATTCGAAAATCAATGAATATACTGGTCTGGTCATTGAAACTGCGTGGTCTGGATTTTAACGTGTAAGAGAATGATGTAGACAGCTTAAATGAAAAATCAAATGTATTAAAAAGAGATAAAAGTTGGGTTGGTACATTTCTTCTATGCGGTATTGCCGGATTCATCACGATTATGCGGTATTGCCGCATCATAATTTCAAACCGCACAAGTAGGTGCATGTTTACGAAAAATGTGGCATCTAGGGTTGGAACTTTATTTTTCACAATTAGTTACACATTTTACTACAGCTGTAATGGATTATATTTAGCTTAGATATATTATCTTCATTTCAGTAGTATAC